TCATATTTACAAAATGTTCCTAAAATCCTATGCTGACATTTCAAGCGAGAAAAATACATAAGAAACCATCCCCTGAGATGGGGTCACTAGCCATGACCTCATCTCCAGAAAACAAACAAACAAACAAAAAAAAAAAAAACAGCACTTTCCAAATCATTCATGTCATTCACATAAGTACAAATAGTAAAAACTTTCCCAACAATAAAATTTCATATGGCTGTACATGTGTCATCGAGTGGGTGGGCTTGAGTATTTGGTAAAGAAAACTTTTAATAAGAAAGAGTTAAAATAGTTAAAATAACTCAATATTTCAAAAACTCACAAGAACTAGGTAATAAATGTTAAACAATAACCGACCATAAAATTTTATTAACTTGATTTAAGAAATATCTGGTTAGCCTTGGATGATTCTGTGTTTTGATTAACCCTGGATGATTCTTTGTTTTGGTTAGCTTTAGATGATTAGTGCATTACTGTGCCAGGTGACAATAATGTCATCTGTTTTATTTGGGTTTGCTTCACAAAAACATCCCCTGAGAAAACATCTGTATAAAAAGCCTTGCTTGGCTGGGCGTTGGTGGCGCACGCCTTTAATCTCAGCTCTCGGGAGGCAGAGGCAGGTGGATCTCTGTGAGTTCGAGACCAGCCTGGTCTACAAAAGCTAGTTCCAGATAGGCTCCAAAGCCACAGAGAAACCCTGTCTCGAAAAAACAAAACAAAACAAAAAACCCAAAAAACAAAAAAAGCCTTGCTTGAGAGCTGCAAAATACACTCAGACTCAAATTGCCTCTGTGTTTGTTTCTGTTTGTCACCACTGAATCCTTACCCACCTAGTCTTTGAAGACCCTCATCCCAGAGACTCCCTCCCATACTCTCGGCTGGGGTGGTCCTTGGAAGTTTTTGTTGTTTTTCTGAGTCAGGGGGCATCCTATGTTGCCCAAGCTGGCCTCCGTTGCCTAGGCTAAAGTGAATCTCAGCACCCTTCTCAGTCTCCAACATACCTGGGATGGAGGCTTGCATCGCAACACTCTGTCGATAGGCTCATTACCATTTATAATGCTTGTCTTTGATCCTTTCCCCAACTTGCTGGTGTCTGAGAGTTCAGACCTTTCTTGTGCAGAAAGTGAAGTTCCTATCCGCTAGGTCAGAAAGCAGCAGACACCTGCTGGCTTCAAATCTTGCATTTCTGTTCACTGCTCCACACATCCCCAATATTGGCTCATCAAACCCCTCCTCACTCCAGGTTTTACCAGCTTTCTTTTTGTTGCTCACTGCTTAGGTATTGTGACTCTGCTCTGGTCCAGTATGCCTTTGGCTTACCCCGACAGTGACAGTCTCATCCTTCCACTGGGTGTGTTTTTAAATGTGGCTCTCCTAGCCAGGTCACTTCTGCTTCCTCTGCTTCAAAAGTCTGCCCAAGATTCCTGTTCCTGGAAAGCTTCCCAATAGGACCGCCCCAGACACCACTCCTTTCAGTTACACTGCCCCCACACTGTGGCGTGCACTGCCACCTCTTCATCCAAGCCCAAGCCCTTTCTAACTCTTCTCCTAGGTGACCTGGTTCAGACATCATCTCCACTAGGAGGCCTTCCCTGGCCCTCCTAGTCTGGCTTTGAGGCCCTGTCTAATGTCTTCCAATAATACCATGGACCAGTAGTCACTATCATAGCACTTAGCATGCAGTGTTGAAATGGTCCACAAGAAGACTGAATGAATGAATATGTGCTTAGGTTAGTTAAAATCAGAAGCCATTAGACAAAGTCTCAAGGCTACCCATACCTGTGGTTTGGTTTGGTTTGGTTTGGTTTAACTCTCATTCCCTGGATGTGTGCCTCACAGTACCTGGTATAGTAATTGCGAAGTAAATAATTTATTGAACCATTGTTATAAAAAATAGAGAAGGTGGGAAATAAAGTTAACAGAGGAAGAACTCCTAAAGTCTATTAATAAGTTAATTCTGGTTTAAATATTTTCAGGGTCCTAAAGGAAATTTCATCCAACTGGGAACCTCTCGTCACCTTCTTTCTCCTTCAGTCTCTCACACAATGAAACTTTTTTTTTTTTTTGAGGGTCTCCTCTCTCTACATATCCTTGTCTGTCCTGGAACTTTCTCTGTAGACCAAGCTGCCCTCAAACTCACAGAGATCTGCCTGCCTCTGGCTCCCCAGGGTTGGGATTGAAGGTGTGCACCACCACACCAGCTGTGAAACACTTAAGCCTGTCTTTGAGGCTGGTTCCATAGAGACTGAAGCAGTGAAGCCTTCCCTTTGTCTTGAATGGCTCTTTTGTATTGGTTTTTTACCCACTAAAGCAAGTTAGTTAGGAATGAGGCTCCAAGGTACTCAGAAACTCAGAATTTAATAGAATTTCCATTCTACTTCGAGTCTGTATGCTGTATAACCAGTTAGCCTCAATAATACAGGGGTCTCCATGCACTTCCAAGTTTGCATATAAGCTCCAGAGTTTGTATAATTGATATATTATATCAATTGTCTATGCTCTAACATGCTGAGATTCCTTGCAAGCTGCCTGCCAGAAATCAATCCACAAGTTTGTGCCAACATCCGTTATTTCTACTTACATGGCCCGTAAGTCTGGCCCCCCATGTGGAACACCTCATACACAGACAAATCATTTCACTGCAATTACGCTACAGTCCTGAGCTACAAAGCTGGCTTAGTCCCATAATCTAAAGACAGGATCTCAGATTGGCAGCCTGGAATCATTTTAGACCTGAACACATGATTTTTAAGTATATGGTTAAATTATCTGTCACCGTTAACCAACTTCTCCCAAACTTATTTGTGTAAAACATGCCTTCCCTTTGTCTTGAATGCCATTCTGTTTGATCACAAGTCCTTCAGCCAACAATCTGGGCTCGGTTTAGCTACAGTTTTTTTGTTCTCACCTGGGATCACTTACATGTCTGTAGTCATCTGGCAGTCAGATTGTCTCATCCACATGTGTGGCAGTTAGTGTGGGCTATGGAGCTGCCCCCTGGCCCCTGGAAGCTAGTTTTGCCTCTTTACCTATTAGTCTGAGACAGCAGGAAATATACACATATCTATGGTCAATTTTTCAAGCCACTGTCTACATGTTTTCTGACATCACATTTACCAATATCCAGAGAAAAAAAATGACTCCATCTCTTGACTTGTTTTTATATAGAGTCTTACTGTGTTGTCCAGGCTGGCCTTGAACTCAAAATCCTCTTGCCTCAGCCTCCCAAGTGCTGGGTGGTAGCTGTATGCCACCATGCTCAGCAAAAGACTCTCCTGATGGAAGGAACAGTAAAGTCACATCCAAGGGGCACACAGAAACATGGGAAGAATCTATCTAGGCAATGTTTGCAATTTATTATAATGGTTTCTTTTCACCTCTTACTTACTCCTCCCCTTCCTTCCTTCCTCCTTCCTTTCTTTTTCCTTCTTTCCTCTCTTTTCTCTCTCCTTCCTTCCTTTCTTTTTCCTTCTTCCTCCCTCCTTCCTTTCTTCCTTCTTACTCCCTCCTTCCTTTCTTTTTCCTTCTTTCCTTCCTCCTTTCTTCCTCTTTCCTTCCTTCTCCCCCTTCATTCTGAGATGTCCTATATTAAGTTATGTGCCAGTGAACAGAGGAGGAACGAGGTAAGAGAAGGCCATTTAAACTCACATTTCCAGGTTAATTGGCAAAGAAAAACACTTCCATGTCCCTCTTCTGTGTGCTGAAGGTCACTCCACAGGGCCATACTGCATTCTGATTTGGGAACCAACCAAGCAAATAGTACCAAGACTTCTCTTTGTGCACTGACCTAAGCCTCTGTGGCCTTGTGTTTCCTGCCCTTCTTATCTGTAGCCTGTATAGGTTCCATGTAAATGCTCTTTATTTCTTTTCTCCCAAATTCTATTATAAAACACAACCCCTTGGGTTAGATGGTCATGTTCTATGTGCTCTTTCATGTGTTATAGCTGCAAAACTTTGATTTAGTATTCTCTCCCTCCCTCTCTCCCTTCCTCCCTCCCCCCTCTCTCCTTCCCTCCCTCCCCCCCCTCTCTCTCCCAACATTTAAGTTAGAATTTAACTTCCAGAAAATCACCTAGCCTGATCCACTCAGCTGCTTTTCCTCCCTGCACTGTTGCATCTGAGTTTGTAACAATAAAACCCACTTTGCAAGATTGTTTTTGTGAAATTAAATGAGGTAATGTCTGTGGGAAAAATCTGGCACAGACAAGCCTCAGTATATGTTTCCTTCCTGAACACTACCAGTCACCAAGTGACCAAGATGAAGGACAAGGGAGTCCAGGAGAAAGCAACTGGAGAGCAGTCAGCTCTCAGAGGACTAAAGGCATTCAGAAGCAAATGACTAAAGAATTTATAAGCATACTAAACGTATTTTAAGGAATTAAGATGAATGACAGAAAACATCCCAGCTTGCTTTAAGCACAACATTTGATAGTCTCAACAGTTGCAGCCCTGGGAGCTGAGCTCATCCATGGGAGGCAGTGACAGGGAGATGGCAGGGAGCATCCAGTCCTGGTCCCCTTCTTCCGGAAGCTCTTGCAGTAAGGTCAAAGCACATTGTGTTTTTTCCATGGTCACTGAATACTGGCCCCACCCCTTCCTGGCTTGAGCCAGGACTGAAGAGAATTCTGCTGCATCTGGTAAGTGCTAACACCCACAGTTTCTCTCTCAATAGCTTTGCAGTCTCTGCCTTTGGGGGGGGGGGGAAGCCTTCCTTAAAGTGGAACAAATAATTGGTCAATATTTACCTCAAGTGAAAGGAGCCAGTTCTCTGCAAATGCTCTCAGAAATTACCTGGGGTCAAAAAAAAAAAATAGTTGTGCAATAATCTTGATGTAAGTGTGTTGGACTTTCTGCCTAGTATATCAGTTAAGCAACTCTGCCTTGAGTAACGTGCTGACCAAAGAGACACGATGAACTGGTGAAAACAAGACTGTTCAAAGAGAAGTTTTAAAGACAAACAGAAGCATTGGTGCCTCTTAAACTCCCTAACCTGGGTTAAAATGGCAGAGTTAAAGGTAAGAAACCATTACCTTTACCTGGTAAGAAACCATTACCTGGCTGGATTTGGATTAAGATTGGAGAGTATACCTGGGGCATCACTTAAACAGGAAAGTGTGGACTTAGCATGTGTCAAGTTCCAACACAAGAAAAAGAGCAGGAAAGACATGAAAAGAAGGGAAGAGAGGAGGGAGAGCAAGGGTGGGGAGATATCTAACAAGTTTATTGTGCCTTCTTTGGCAAGAATTTATGGAGTCTTCTGGTGTCAGAGTTGAAAAAGACCCTTGGGTGGGGGCTGTAGAGAAGGCTTAGTTGTTGCAAGCACTCGATGCTCTTCCAGGGGACCTGAATTCAGTTCCCAGAATCTGTGCAACAGCTCACAACTCTAGTTCCAAAGGCTCTGACATCTTCTTCTAGGATTTGTGGCCTCTATAGGCTCATGTACACACATACATATACACACACACATACACACACACACACACACACACACACACACACACACACACACTTGAAGGGCCTGTGTTCAGATCCTACACTGAGGTATTGGTGGGTAGGACTGCACTGAGGAGACACAGAAAAGGTGACAAAAAAAAGCAATTGTACCCTTGCCTTTGTTGATTTCTAAAATTGTCTTGTGGCTCAGTGGGCATGTTGAGAACTCCCCTTCTAAATGGACAGGGGGCATTTCTCTATATGCCGCCTTCCCGGCTGGTCTTCATCATCCTGTGGCTGAATAGGTTCAGGCCAGCCAGTTAAATCTGCTTAATCGTTTGGTGGCTCAGACTTGGCTTTGAACAGTACTTTTTTATTTAGTGTGCCATTGAGAAGAATGAGTGGGTCATATGCTACAGCTGCTAGGGGTTTTAACTATGCATTAGTACCCTTCACAGTAAACCTGGGGTGTAGATGCCCTTTTTTTCTATTTTAAGCCAGTAAGGAAAGCAAGGCTCACAGGGACTAAAGATTTCATCCAAGCTCCCTGCTAGTAAATGATGGAGACCACAGTAGAACTTGGGGTTGTTGAAATTAAAATTTCAGGCCCCAGTATTTATCCCTAGCATATAAATGTACTTTGGGAGCCAATTCCACATACAGGGATACTCTCTCAGCCTAGACACACGGGGGAGGGCCTAGGCCCTGCTCCAAATGATATGACAGACTTTGAAGATCCCCCATAGAAGGCCTCACCCTTCCTGGTGAGCAGAAACGGGGATGGGATAGGGGGTTAGTGGGGGGCAGGGGAGGAGGAGAGGGAGAAGGAACTGAGATTGACATGTAAAACAAGCTTGTTTCTAATTTAAAAAAAAAAAATTCAGGCCAGGAAAAGAGGCTAACAGGCACCTGCTAGATTGGTGCCTTTGGGCCAGGGAGAAGAAGAGTGTGTTCCCTGTGTCGAAAACTCTGCCTAGTGTTCAGCTCACTGCATGAAACCAGAACTAGAACATCCAGGCCCCATGGGCTCAAGCTGAGTAGAACAGACTCCCCTGGCCTCTTCCTGGAATTCAGGGATTGAATGCTGCCAGGAAGCTTTTCAATCAAATCTGGGATGGTAAATCAAGCAGCTTTCTAATTAACAGGCACCTTGAAGGCACTTAGTGCCGCAGCAAAGAGTTTTTCCTCTTCATCTTCACACCAGACTTAGCTGGCTCTCATTCGGTGCTAGTTCATGACAGCAGTTAATGCAGCATGGGGATGGAGAAATTCCTAGAAGCAAGCTATTCCTAGGTGAAGTGACAAAGGACTAGAGCAAACAAATACCATGTGTCAAGATGCAAACTATGCAGAAAGATCCGTACATCCCAGGAACCTAGTGTTTCCCCCAAGCTGGAGCTGTTGCATGAATGGGGTGCCCAGCAGGGGACCCATGTGCAGGTCTGAACCAAAGACAAGTGGGCATTGATAATGGGGAACCATTATGCCCATGGTGCAATTGAAGATGTGGAGGAAGGAGAATTCATAAGAGTTTTGTTTTATGAGGGAAATCCTATGAGAAAGCTCATCAAGGGAAGAAACATCCTTACCATTTATAAATAAATCATATCTAAAATCCTGTACTGCCGCAATATTTAAGCAACTTATTATTCAAACCACCACCGCATGTAAATGGCACGCTGTCCTTTGTTCTCAGTTTCAAAGACCTGCCCAGCCTGCTGTCTCATCTCCAGAAGGAAAGGTCATCTCCAGAGGTCAGGAATCCTTACACAGTGAGCCAAATTGAAGTGCACCCATCCCAATCAACAAACATTATAAAACCTAATTTAAAACGTTCCTCGTGTTTCTGCCATTTCAATGGCTATGTCAACACAAAACCTGGAATGAAATCACATTTGCATAAAGGCACAACTAGAGGAAGAAAGTTCAAAAGCTCAAATAATTCTATGAGGTGTGAGTTGGATTCACTGCGTTCTTGACTAAGTCGCTTCAGTCCTGCCATTCCTCAAATGCTGAGCTGGTTTCACATGCAGACAGACACTTGACTCGCTAGCTTTGGTCTGAAATGATTCTTAGGGCTCGTGAGAAAGGGGATCCACTGGCCTACAGTTTCCTATTGGGCTACACCAAATTACCATAGATTTATGAGCTTAAGACCATACATGCATTCTCCTGAAGTTTTGGAGAGTGCTCATCTGAAATCAGTCCCACTGGGCCAACATCAAAGTGTCAGCATGGTGGAGCTCTTCTGGAGGCTCTGAAGAGGAATGTTTCTCTGGCTTCAGTTTCTAGAGCGCCCACATCCCTTGGCTTACAGTCCCTCCTTTATCTTCAAAGTATATTATTCGGATCTCTGCTTCCTTGGTTACCTTCTACCTCTGTCCTAGCAGAACACATGTGATTTCATTTGAGTACCTCAAATAATGGAGAATCTCCCCCACCTCCAAAGCTGTTTACTTAATCGAATCCACAGAAGTGTATCTGTTCACATTTCCAAATTCATTCCAAGTTACCTTAGGGCAGCTGGAAAATGACCTCGGGCCGTAGGTGAGGCAGCCAGAGGTTAGGGAGATCTTCCTTAGCCTCCTTCCCAGACAAAGGATGGAGACCAGTGGAGACAGCGGGTAATAAGGTGACAGAGACCAGCATGAACAAGACTGCCTCTCATCAGGCTTTTACTGAGATGGGCATGAAAACTGCAATTTGCTCCCATGACGTGAGAGGTGGAAAACCCCTCCTCTCCTTCCTCAGGCCAATCCAGGAGGACAGAATTAGCTGTATTAGGATATGTTTGTCTTTTACCTTTGTAGTCAAAGGCAGTTCTATGCAGCCCCAAACTCCAGGAAGGTATTTGACAGAAGAGCCTGCTAATGCCATCTCTGGCCATGAATTTACCTTTTAGCTTTTGTTTGCTTTGGAACAGGAAGGAATAACTTGTTTTGGCTGCCATGAATTTACCTCTTAGCTTCATGGCCAGTTTAAGCTCTCCCTGGTTCCCTTACCCAATAGTCTCAAGCCCCAAATTGCTTCTCTGGTCCTTCTATCTGTTTCGTTTCATTTTGCCTTTCGGTTATTCCAGACAGGGTCTTGGGTAGCCCAGATGGCTTTGAACTCGTTAGGCAAAAAGGGATGACCTTGAACTCCCAATCTTCTTCACCTACCTCTTGGAAGGGATCACAGGCTGGGTCAGCACCTGAGGCTTCTAGTTCATCGTTAACTAATCCACAACAGGCATTGTGAGGGCTGTGTGCCAAAGGGTCAGGCTTTCAAAGTCCTAAGCTACTTAAAAACCCACCTCTTAGTTTCAGCCTGCAGCAGCAACCTGCATGTTTTCCTAACAATTTAGATTCCATGACTCCATGAAGGTTAGCCAGGAGAACTGAATCCTTTTACCGGGAGAAAAAAAACAAAAAAAAAAAGCCCAGGCCTTGTCTCCATTTCTATAGTACCCAGTAAAGGAGACAAGGCGCACCATCTGCTCCTCACATCAGGTGTTACCCAGAATTTGACTCAAAAGTGCCCCCCAAAATGACTCTGACAAGTAAATCATATTCTGGGGACCAGGTGAGAATTGAAAAGCTAGATGCCAGTGAGCTGCCAAAGAAGTGACTGTTTCCAAGTCACGTGGGCCCCAGAAATGTATTCTTTCATTTAACAAGTATGCATATAATTCTCTTGGAAAGAAAGAAAATCATATTTTTATATAGCATCACATTATTCTAAAATCTGAGCTGAAAGAAACATAAACACACTCGCTTAATGTCAGGTTTTTATTTCATTTTTTGCAGAAGGTGCATCTTTACATAATTCCAGAGGCAGCTGGATTTGGAGCTCTTGGGTTTTCACAGCTGATAAGAGCAGAGCTCAGAGTCTGTCCTTGGCCTCAAAGCCTTGAGACAGCAGCTGCAAAACACAGCTCCCTCCATTGCAAAGCCTAAAAAAAAAAAAAAAAAAAAAAAAAAAAAAAAAAAAAAAAACTAATGAACACCTCTATAATTTTTCTCCTGGAAGGTTAGAAAGACCAAGCAGCCAAGGGTGACTCAGCAGCTTCCACCTGCTTCTCAAGCCAGTGCACTTCCATGAGGTGGGACAAAAAGATTAAAAAAAAAAAAAAAATTGCCACCTCCCTCCCTCCCTCCCTTCCTGCCTCCTTCCCTTTTTCCCTCAGAGCTCTGGGTGGCTCCCTCCCAAACCAACAGCTGTTCTTTCTGTGTTCTTTCCCTTTTTTCTTGGAGCAGAGCCTCAAGCAAATGCTTCACAATCACTAAGTCCCATTCTCCTTGTTCCGAATGGACCTATAACCTCTGTTCTGAGGCCAGCAGTTACAAAGACGGGGATGGTTGATCAGTAAATCCACCCCTGCCTGCCAGAAAGCTCAGCTGGCCAAGGCAGCTCTCAAACCTCCCTTTCTCCCTGCAGATAGGAACAATGACACAGCCCAACAAAGAGAGGCCACTGTCATCCTCAGTGGCTTCTGTCACAGGCTGATCTACAATTCTGTTTCACAGAATTGAAGATAATTGGAGGTCATTACTGACTCTCAGCAGCTCACATTCAGTCCTGTTGGTGGTGAGCACGAGGTTCATTTTGAGAGAAGAAAATTGTTACTCTGTGGAGGTTTGGGTTGTAGATAGTCTCTTCCATTACCCCAGAGCTGTAATTCCAAACTGCATGCAGCTTGGAACAAATCTCATTAAAATAGAACTTGGTTGGAAGAGTGGGGGGGATTCTGATAAATTTCCAAAGAGATTTTGAAAAAAAAAAAAAAAAACGTAGGGGGTGAGCGACATACTTACTCAGTAGCAAAGCACATATGCATGAGGCCTCAAGTTCAATCCCCAGCAACACCCTCCCCCCACCACACACACACAAACCCTGTGTCTGAAGGCAAATGAATAATTTCACTCCCATTGCTTTCTAGGTCATAACATTTCACATTTCATATTCCTTCCAAATATAGACACTGCTGGCCTGATCGTCGCTCACACATCCAGTGTGTTACATCTAGCTCATTCTTCCCGGAGCTGCCAAGAACTTTGAAGGGCCTACCCTCCACCCACATCCATCCTTCTTATATCTCTTAAAGAACCGTGCTCAGATGGTGACATTTCACTCACCCAGTAAGGCTGCATTCTCCTTATCCTAGCTAAAATCAACTCATGTTTGAGTTCAAATCCCACTCCCCACGGCAATCATGCACTCTGAGGACTGGCTCTGAGTGAGAAACACTCCATGGGTGCTTACTGAATAGCTTCCATGGGTCGAGACACAAGATACACAGAGGTAAATAAAGCTGGCATAGTCCCATCCTTCAGGAAACGTGGAACAGCAAAGAAGCTAGACAGTGACAGGCCTACGCCAAAAGTCGGGTGCACTAATCATTGCAAGAGTAACTCTTGGCTCACAATGGATGAGAAGTAACAGCCAAGATGTGGAATCTGCTGCTCTTCCTCAAACTGCCCAAAGGATCATAGGCAAGATTTCATGTAATCACTTGTAAATAAATTTCTAGAGAAGGGAATTAAGAAGGTTAATGGATTTCCAATGTAGCTAAAGGTTGGGGCAGCTGATGCTCTCCTGCACGGAGCCCACCAGGGCTCTCACAGTCTGTAGACGAACATACGGCTGTATCAGCTCTGCGCTCATTTTCCAAGAAACAGGATTGACTTTGTTCAAAACAGCAGTTACTTGTTCAGCTGTCTGTGGATAACTGAGATATTCTTTGAAGATTGGCTTTACCAATTACCATCAATAAAGCAGTCTTTACCATTGGGGGATACAAATTTCAGAGGACCCCTGTAAGTTACCTTGCTGAGAAAGTTAATTTCTCCCTCTGTGTTATAAACCTAAGAGATGTCAATCATAGTAGGCTTGTTGCATTGTTATGAAAAGATTCTGGGCTGGAACATCTCATAAAAGCCATTTACTCTTTAACCCTTCTTTTCTTGTATCCACACAGATGCAAATACACACACACACACACACACACACACACACACACACACACACATACACGATGACCCAGGTGCCAGGTGATACTGGCCCCTATGGAAGGAGTTTTCTAACAAACAGCTTCCCATCTCTTTAAATCTACATACTTCTTCCCAGATTGGAATTTTGGTTTCTTGTTTATTTGTTTGTTTTAGGGTGTACAGGGGGAAAGGAGTTGCAATGTAGAGCCAGAAAGTTCCTGCTGGCTTGGAGTTGAAATGATGCCTGAGTCATCTCCCTCCCAGGAATTTCCAGGCAGAACCAAAGTTAAAGAGCTTGTTCTTGAAATGGGATCATTGAAAGCAAGCTTATAAAATCAGTCAAGAATGGTTAAGGACAGAAAAGTCTATGCAATATCCAGTATTTCTCTCTGGTTAACTGCAAATATTTAAAATGAACAAACACACTGTGTATTTTCCTAAGGGGCTCACCAGCCAAGACAGGGCAGATATTACGCACGAAGCATCATAGACAAACACATGCCCTAGGAGCTATTCTTGCCTTTGTAGAATGGCAATGCTGTAAAATGCTCTTTAAATCCTATTAGGGACTGGGAATATGGCTCAGCAGGTAGATCACTTTCAGCTCAAGAGTGAGAACCAGAGTGTGGATCCTCACTTATGAGAGGTGGAGTCTCTCATAAGTCCTGGAGCAAACTGGTGAGCCAGACTAGCAGTGAGCCTCCAGTTCGGAGAGAGCCTCTACCTCAGTAAACAAGGTGGAGAGCAGTTGAGGAAGACACTAGACCTCAGCTGTGGTCTTCCACATGCACACACATAATCACCCACATACATGTAAACACACACACACAGACAAATACATCCCAGTAACAATGAAATTTGTGTCTTTGTCACACATAGTACATTTCTGGATTTGGGAACGAGTGTGCTTCAGAGGACCCTCGCTGCCCGGGTTCCTTGCCAGAAGGACAGGTAAGAGTGGAAAAGATACTTGGAGAGAGTCAAACTGTAGACTTAGAAGACAAGCCTGTAGGCCCAGTAGCTCCACCTAACACAGCTCTTCTAATAGCTTGCAAACTGTCTAGTTTCCAAGGTTAGGACAATGGCGTTATAGCATAATAGCAACAAAAATATTAAAAACTGGATTTAAATTGGTGATTAGGTACAGCAAAGGACCCAACCCAAATTAATGAGATTAACTAACCCCAAAGTCCAAGGTTGGAGGAACTTCGTGGGAGCCCCTTTGAGGTACATCAGATACAGCCATGTTGAGAAAATAAGTTGGTTGAGAAATACATGCACCAATACTGGCTATAATAGCAAAACTACTGCAAATGGGTTCATTTTCAAAACTTTTTGGTGGCTATTTAATGGTATATAAAATACTTACAGTCTGGGCATAGTGGCATACCCCCATAACCCACAACCCCCATAAAGAAATGCTCATGACATGGTGTGTCCTTTTCAAAAGAAAAATTCCTGATTGTTATAGGCTTATATGTCTCATAGGATCCTCATTTGGAGGCAAGAACAGGAAGAAATATACAAACATCAATATTGGGTTACTTTGGTTGGTGATGTAATGGGTCATCATTAAGCTTGCATCACTCCTCTCATTGGGGGAAGTCACAAAGGTATCCAAAGTACACATGGGTGGATGATAGCAATGTGCAGTGGTCCAGAGCCTTCCCAGATCCACAGGCCAGTATCTCTCCCCACTGAACAGGTTGGTGGGAAAGTAGGATGCTTTGGGTAGTGGAATGATGTTGTGTGATGCCTCTTCATTTTAGAATAATCCTCAAGTCTGCCCCTACAATCTCTACGCGGAGCAGCTCTCGGGATCAGCCTTCACTTGTCCACGGAGCACCAATAAGAGAAGGTACACACCGAAATCAATTCTGACTTACAGTCTGTGGCACCTATATTCCAGTCACAGTCTCCCTAAGGTCCTCCTTGCATGCTGCATTCTGGGTCACACATCAGAAACATCCAGGCTTGTTCCCAGTGAGTGACTGGCAGAAGAAACCTTGGGAACAGCTGTACAGATGCAAAATCGCACACAAACCCTGTCCCATTGCAAAGTCTCACTAGAATTCCACAGGAATTCCACAGTCAGTCTCACCCTCTGACTTTCCTCTATGGATTGTATAGTTTCAAACTGCAGTCAGAGAAGATTCAGACATCTTTCTCGGATGACTGGAAGCGTTATGGTCTTTGCTTGAAAACCGATAACCCAAGCTGAAGTGCTTGAAAGGTCATGTATTATGGCCCCATGTGGTTTGAATTAATAGGGTTTTTCCCTCTTTGGAATTTGCCTTTCCTGGGAACTAGCACATTCATTAGCACAGTGTGGCATGTTCTGTGCTCACTCTAATCCTAGTTACCTCGGTGAACTTGCTCTCTAATCAACTTCTACGGAGCAGGCTGGATGCTGACGCTGAAGACCCAGGAGGCCGTCAAGTGTTGTGATTTGAATTCATCGTATCTAATTGTAGGGATTTCAGGTTCTGCGTGTGTAAAGAATGATGTTGCTGACTTTGGAGATATAAGGAGGGTTGGAGTGGTCTTATACTGCCTAGATAGAAGGAGGAAGTGGATTTATCTCCACTGAGTCCTCCCAAGAAGCAGATGGGCCAGTGAGTGCAACAGTACCAAGAGCTACATGCGTGGTAAATATTGCCTCCCTCATAATGAGTCATGTCCACTCTGCAGGCAGGCAGGCAGGCCCCCTGTGGTTAAGTCCTTGCTCCTATTTCTACTGTTGAACAAGTCTTCTACCCTCTCAGATCCTCTACATTTGTAAATTGGATCCTGAGAGATAATTTAGGTGAAGGGATAGACACTTTTATATTTGTCAGAAATCAAGGATTAAGTTGGCCATGGTGGAAGAATTAGGAATTTGAGGCCAACCTGGACTATATATCCTGCCTTAAAAACCCAAAGCCAACCAAGCAAACAAAACTCAAAATAAAAGCACAAACTCAGAGGTTGTTTCTATTGTTATTTGGCAATCTCTTCCTCTAGACAAGATAAACTAATCCACAAATGATCCCTATCTGTTCTAATTTATGACAGCCTGGCCTCCAGGACTGTGTTCTTGACTTCATGATCTAACTACACACGGGCCACCCATACCGTCTCCAGAATTTGCTGCCTGCCCTCATTATTCAGCAGTATCTTCAGCCCGCAGGAGCTGAGCTCTGTTCCAGGAGGCTGAAAAGGAGCTCTTGGCATTTCATTAAGAAGCTGGCAACATTCCCTGCATTGGAATTAAATCTGTCCAGGGCAACGTAGTATAGCTTGGGGAGTTTTCTAAACTCAGCTGAAAAATAAGGGACACTAGGCATGGCTCACCCATCTGCTTAGCACTCTCCAAAGGTATGCATGCACAAGAAATGTTTGAAAACATTCAAACCTCCAGCGGGAAAGCATGTCCCTCCCCGTCTATGGATGAGTTGACTTGATGTTCTCAGCTAGTCACTACTCACTTAAACCCCAAGCCATTAGAAACACCAAAACTACTAGAGGTTCCTTCTATTAGAAACATCAAAACTACTAGAGGTTCCTTCTATCTCTCTCTGGAAAGCAAATGTGTAAAGTTTAAATTTGTGGTTAAAAACCAGATGACTAAAAGAGAACAATTCAATAATCGTCCAGCAAGTGAATGCCTAGGTAAACTTGTAGTCCTCACCACAACCTTAGAAGCTAAAGATGAAGAGGATAGGATCCAGGAAGTTAAATCATATTATCTGGGCTGAAGTCATTGATTGCACTGAGAGCTGGGGGAATCTGATGGGAGTGGAACAAATTTAGCCCATTTATGGCTCAGGTGCTCAGTGACTGGACAGGCAAACCCACTCTTGAGTTTGGACTGTCCTGGAGCCTGTTGAGCACAGCAGGTCTTCCACTGTCACAGAAGGGTCTTTCTCCCTCCTTACCATCTCAACCCCTAGAAAGACTTAGTGAGATAGTGTCCCTCTCATCTTCAAGTCCTCTGCAGACTCTTTTTCCCTTCCTTGAGTCACATCTGATCCTGGAGAAGAGACAGCCCCAGGCCTTGACATACACAGATACAAAACTTAGTAATGAAAAGGAAAGTCAAACAAAACCATAAAGATACCACATTAAGAAAGACATGGATGCATGCTTTTATAACTACAAATTCTAAAACTTTTCACAACTAATGCCAAAAAAGACCAAATAAAACCCAAATAAAATCAATACAGGACTCTATAAGCAATTCCTAGAAAAATTACAAAGGACTGATAAATAAGCAAAACTTATATTCAACCTTATTCAAAATAATGGACACATTAAAGAAAAGATACTATATTTCACTTTCAAGAGTATAGTCATTGGAGCTTGAGAGATGGCTTCGTGGTTAAAAGCATTTGACCAGAGTTCAAATCCCCAGCACCCACATAAGAAGCCAGTATGGCTGCACCCACCTATAACCTCAGAGCTATAGAGCACAGAGACAGGAGGTTTGCCAGCTTCCAGCCTAGCATCAGGTTAGTGAGAGACCCTGTCTCAAGGGAATAAGATGACTTATAGAGCAGGACAAAGTAGTACAAAGTCTGGCCTCTGGCCTCTGAATGTAAACAGGTTTGTGTGCTTGTGCACATATACACACATGCTCATACATCACACATATACACCACACACACACACACACACACACACACACACACACACACACACACAAATATATTTCTAATAAGTGCAATTATAATATCCCAGATTGGGGAAGATGTGGGAGCTATGTTCCCACCTGCATCATTAGTGTAAGAAGACAGTAGTCCTATAATTGGCCAGTTTTCCTTATATATGCATTGGAGATATCCAAGGAAATATGTAAGAAAAGTGTTAAGCTCGGCACCTCTAAGGACCAGCCATGAAATAGGCTGGAGAAGTGCTGATCAGCCCCAGGAAGTTTTGAATGTATGGAATTATTTCACCATTGTCATAAATCACTTTGTAATTTTAAAGGACAAAGCTGATCTCTGCTTTTAGAAATAACAAAGGTACTCCCGTATCCTCTCAGGCTATCCAGAATCATTGTCCTGACTTGAAAAGCAAAAATTAACATCTTAGGATGCTTTTCTGTGGATATCCATGTACATATTCCTCAGGGTGCTTCCTTTTCCCTTGCAATTGTTGGGAAAGGCAATGCTTCATTGTTTGGGCAGTGTGTGAATAGGTAGGAGCCAGAGCAGGGAGTGAAGAGACCAGAGTTACTGGCAGGAGATAGCTGTTAAGAAACCAAGGGTCATTGCTACTCACAGCAAAGCCCATAGATGATTGCTGGCTGGGTTTCTCCTTGATGGCCCCTCCAGAGCCAGTCTGTGTCCCTCTGAACATTACCAAAAGCTGTGTCTTTCTGTTTTTCTCGTTTCCCTTAGCTGGCTGTATAGGATTCTCCCTTCAGTTTCTCACAAGCCCTTTGAGTCCATTGACCAAGGCCACCTGACTCACAACTGGGATGAAGTTGGCCCTGATCCTAACCAGGTAACCTGGCCCCCATGAACTGAAACACATCATGTATTCAAAGCCTTGAACGGAAATGCTCAAATCTGGGTTCAAGTCATTGAAAACGAAGAGTGCTTTTTGAAGTAAGTGCTGGCGCATCTGATTGTGGCTCATATCCCACTGGGGGTCTTGAAATGGATTGATTGTGCATGTGTGTGTCTGTGGAGAACAGGGGAAGTAAGTGTATCTTTTTGGTTCAATGCCATGAAGATAGGCAGGGGCGTGGTTTAGACCTAGGTATAGGTGGGTCAAAATCCCTGTAGACCCTACACCCATAGGTTTTTATTGTTAGCCTCCACTTATCACAGAACATAGGAAACACCTTCAATACTGACATCCTTAGGCAGGGGAGGAGAGGAGGGAGACGGAACTGGGATTGACATGTAAAACAATCTTGTTTCTAATTTAAATTAAAAAATGGAAAAAAAATACTAGCATCCTTAAAGAGATACTTCTCGCCGGGCGTTGGTGGCACACGCCTTTAATCCCAGCACTCGGGAGGCAGAGGCAGGCAGATCTCTGTGAGTTCGAGGCCAGCCTGGTCTCCAGAGCAAGTGCCAGGATAGGCTCCAAAGCTACACAGAGAAACCCTGTCTCGTAAAACAAAAACAAAACAAAAAAAAGAGAGATACTTCTGAAGCCTGGTATAGGGATGAGAGGACTTCTGTGAAGGATTCTCTAAATCTTGTGGTGAAAGACCATTGTCACAATCTCTTCCACCTCAGGTACAACCTTTTCTTTTCTTTTTTTTTCCCCAGAAGTTTCCCTTGATGATCAGCATCATTCATATTCTCAGCTTGTAGCAATGACCCAATACTATAACTGGCAGGACCCTTTAAAGAAAGGAAGTCTGAGACAATGCCTTAATCTCTGGTCTAGAGACCTGTCTCTGCTCCCTGCTGTGATGCATCCTGCAGAGAAAAACAGACCTGGGTTTGCATCCCTGCATCCCTGCCCTTGAGCCATGATGCTTCTCTTATCGAATGTGATGACAACACTGGCCTTGTGGTATTGTGGTGAAGATTACACACGAGAGAGTAGGTGTGAATGTGTTTGCCCGGTGCCTGACAGGTAATAGGCAAAAACCATGACTCTGATACAGCCATCCTGATGCAGTCACTTACAGGCTGTGGCAGTCCCTGTAAGCCTCAGAATTTATATTAAGGTCAATCAGCTCTTAGAGTTTTTTGTTTTTCATTCTGAGGATTCTGTCTCACTTCTCTCCTGAGTCCAAGGAAACATCTTGTTTCTCCTTTTTGATCTGTGATATTTCATCGATTCCTGAAATTATCTACAAATGTACTTCCCCTAGATGCTTAGGGTTTGTTTTGTAAGGTGAAAACCAGAAAATGTCAGGCATTTTGTTTCCTGCCTTGCTGCGTATCTTGCCTTAATTACAGGAACTCAGGGGACTGAGTAGTTTGAAGGCCACATACTCTCTCTCCAGCAAGGACAGAAATGGAAGCGTTTGGAGTGGTGAAAATGTATCTTAAAATATTGTCTACTTCAGTCATTTTTAAACTGGGATAGTTTTCTTAAATAATTGACCTCTAATCTTGTGTGACTTTCTCTTTTCTGCTACTGAGGAGTGAACCTAGGTGTTCACGTTTGTTAGGCAAGTGCTCCAACACTAAGCTATCTTCCCTGTTTTTACTTTTTATTTTGTTACAGTCTCACTAAGTTTCCTAGGGTGGCCTTGAACTCACTGTGTAGCCTGAGCACATCTTGAACTTGGGATCTTTCTGCATCAGCCTGCTGAGTAGCTAAAACTGAGGGCCTGTGCCATAAGCCTGGCTTTTGGAAAAATTTAATGGTCTAGCAGATGCCTCCCTGGTACCCGTACTGTGTATCCCCTTTTCAGCATAGTGGGAAAAAGCCAGCCCCTGCTTCAGCTCTAACCCAAGCTCCACAGGTTCAGTCCCCACATAAATAAGGACTTTAGGCTTCCAATCCCTGCCCCATTCTCCTTAAATGGGTCAGACTCTTGTGAAGCATACGATTTACACACATATACAATCATCACCACCACCATCATCATCATCCTGCCATTACCTGATCCTCCTTAACTCAATCATTCTTTCCCCCCTCACCTCTAGCATTTAAATTAGCATGGTTGGGGCTGGAGAGATGGCTCAGTGGTTAAGAGCACTGACTGGCCTTCCAGAGTACATGGGTTCCATTCCCAGCAACCACATGGTGACTCACAACCACCTGTAATGAGGTCTAGTGCCCTCTTCTGGCCTGCATGGATACATGCAGACAGAACACTGTATACACATAACAAATAAATAAATAGCATGGCAGGACATCCTCACTTTACCATCTTCCAATTATCCTACAAAGGGCCATACAATCCATGCTCAATCTCTGAGTTCCTGTTGGACATGGGCAAAGTGAAGGCACGAGCCAGCACAGACAGAGAGGTCAGGAGAAAGGGAAACAAGTACCTAGCGTTTGTGTGGAGGAGGGAGTTGTGGCAGAGCAGTTACCTAACAACCAACAGGTTCCAATGCTTAGAAACCATCATCACAAGTTGCCAAAAGTGTGAGATGTGGGACTTCACTGTGGACAAAGATTCCATCATGTAGATAAACTCTCCAGATAACCTCAGGAGAGGTTATACTATACTCAGAACAATAGATGACGGCTGTCTGGGTTGTGTCACGCCAATGATGTTTAGTTTCTTCTCTTTCTCAACAGTTAACCTTCTCTTTGGTGAGACCACTAGGCAGGGAGTTCAAGACAATTGCATTGCTTGTGGAAGATAGTTTCCCAGTCAGATAAGGGCATTCTAGGCCCTCCCAGAGAGGAAACATCAGGCAGGAGTCTGATCTTGACTCCGAGACAGCATCTTTGTCTCAGCATGCCCAAGTGTCACTTTGGGGGTTTCTCTTCCTGAGACTCTAGAGTTAAATTTCAAAATCTCTGAGTTCTCTCCCAGAGTTGCCCGTCTGCTTAGCAACAGGACTCTATTTTCACCAGAAAAATAGGAAGCGTGGCACCTATGGGTTTTATAAATGCCAATGTGGTGCTTATTATATGCCAGCGTGGGAGGCTTAAGAGGGCATTTGGACCACAGAGAGTTTTCTAACTCTTTATTCAGGTGGCACAGGAAATCCTCAATTATATTTCCGACAGTTCTCTCTAATAGAGACAAATCTCCTGTCACACAAAGGAACAAAGCGGCTGTGAAACGACCAAACATGAAGAAAATTAAGCATAAATGAAATCATCTCTGAAAAATCTCTTTAATGGCCCATAAAGTATAGGATATATGGCGCTGCGCATGCTACCCATAAAAGGAAATTCCTTTGTAAACTAAAGCTAAGACTAAATGAAGGCTTACAGGGCAAGTTTCCTTAGGCAGATTGGAGGAATGTGTCAATGAAGATCATGGTTCCATTATTCATGTTAAATGGGGTGGGTCGGAAGCTCCAGGGTCCTTGCCAGAGCACATCGTTCCTAGCAGCTGCCTCAACATCCAGGCTTCGGTACATCATCATTGTCATAGTCTTGTCAGTAGTTGTGTGGGCGACAGTGAAGCCATTGCTTCCTTCATCTGATTTCCTTAGGGGCAGGGTAGGTTTTAAATCTAACCTTTAAGGAAAATATATAACAAAATCTTCTGCAAGTCTGAGGCATAAGGTCCTCCTTGGGGGCAGGTTTTTATTATCTGTTGTTTCCATGACTACTGGAATGCACTTTGTTTCATGTGATTACATCCCTTCTTAAGGTCACTTCGAGGGACAGGTTACATGTCATAGAATATGTAAAAAGGCAAGAGTGGAGACCAAGAGATCTCTGCAATAAATTGTCTACTGATCCAAAAACAGGTGCTAGCCATAAGAGGAGAGACAAGGTTCTGGAACAAGTTCCCACAGTCACCTACAGCCTGGGTGGTGGTTAGCAGATATCTGTCAACCCAGAGCTAAGGGTGTTCTTTAACAAACACAGGGAAAGAATGTACCACACTGGCTGTAGATGGGAGGGGCCAAATATGACACTGAAGGAGAAAGTCTGGGGACAGAAGGACAGTCCTTAAGGAGAGTTGTGATCAAGTCTGGAATGGTTGAGGTTGCAACAATTAATATGTAATATAGGGTGGTCCTTGTCATCACTGTGATTAGATTTAAGTCACAGTTTCAATTTAAGCTGATATTTTATTGGTTTTGAATTAAATTCTGATTAACTTCTCTCTCTTACAACTTTGGCCTCTGTCATTAAATCTGGGACATATCAGAATTTTAAAATTAACCTTAGGTCAATAGAATTCTTCTAGTTTGAGCCTCTCTTTTTCTCCCCACTGTGTGTGTGTGTGTGTGTGTGTGTGTGTGTGTGTTTCTTCTCAGGATGACTTCAAACTCATGATCATCCTGTCCCTGCCTCTCAACTGCTAAGAGTATAGGCAGATGACACCACACCCACCCTTGCCTTCTTGTACAAGTATCTAACTTCTAAAACATCAAATGCTGTAAGGATTAATAACATAGAAAGTGGAACCCTCTCACCCTAGGCAAGAGTCAAGGGATTTCAGTTGTATATGCTAAATTGTTAGCTCACAACTAGTTAACATACATTTTGTAAAGAAGTTCCTGGCACTGTATTTAAAAGTTAGAGTCAATGGCAAGAAGCCAACACAGCTGTGTTGGAATTGGCAGCTGCTTTCTAGTCGATGGCCCCTAATTCCTGTGTTTTGACTTCTAACATCGAATTGTGGTGTTTTTTTATGTTTGTTTGTTTGTTTTTTTGTTTTTTTTGTTTTTTTTTTGTCCTGGAACTCACCATGTAGACCAGAGTAGCCTCGAACTCAGAGATCTTCCTGCCTCTGCTTCCTGAGTGCTGGGATTAAAGGTATACAGCATCACACCTGTCTTGACATTGTGTTGCTTTCTTCTTGAACTTGTTACATTATCCTTGCTTTGAATTCCTTGAACACTTTGAATATGACAATGACCAAACAGCTTTCTCCCCTACTGTCT